CATTTCTATTTATAACTTGTCTACATGCCAACATTGAATACAACACTTTAAAACAGCTAATTAATGGAAGGAAGACCAAAACTATTATAGTGCTAATAGTGCTATTTGGAATAATGTAACATTCAAATTTCAAAGAAGCTCAAGAGTTTCAGTACAATAGCGACATGTGGCATTTAGCTGGCAGAAAATTTAGCTCACTGAAATAAACTGCATCGACATGTTAATTTAACCTTCGTGATATTTTCTAACATAATAACTTTGTTTGTCCTTCATATTATTTTATCAAGGTTGGAAACAGAATGTTGTCAGGACAGTGTTACTAATACATTTTTAATAAATGCACTGTTATACATGCCATGTATTGCAGAGGTGATGACCCATTTCTCGTAAACAGACTTACAAATGAATTAGAAGTTCTGATCCAGCTGCTGTTGTTAAGTTCTAACGGGTAAAAAGAAAATATATGAGCCCATGTAACATCCTTGTGTCTTGTAAAAAAAAAAAAAAAAAATCTCCATCTGCAACTCAAAATAAGCTTGCAAGGTCTTGGGAGTTGCTTGTGTTTTTAATGTGCTCAGAGCAACACATGAAGAAACTTTTTATACTATATTTTGCTTATATGTCACTTATTCGTTTACTTTTTGCACCTTAGAAGTGTAACTAAGTTCAGCAATTTGAAAGCCAAACGCGGTTTCTTTTTCTTGACATGTGATGTAACTGCTAATTGTTTGATAAAGCCATGCTAATCAATATGTTCAAACAATGAAAAACAAAGACCACGTGTAATGTAAACAGTGCCACTTTTGCACATTATTTTAGTTTTGCAATCTGTAAGTCTCACCGTTGTCTTTAACCTTGTTTCCACTAGCAACAGATAGCTAGGTTCTAGTGCCAAACAGGAAGCAGACAGGCTGGTGAACACAGTGGTGCATTTAGGAGCCAGACAGTTCCCTAAGGAGTCAGTGGAGACCAATTATTTGCTAACACATTTGACTAATCAACTTTATGACATGATTTTGTGTAAATGCTCCAGGTTATTACACTGTCTCCAACTGGCCAAAAAATTCAGTCACTGCTGGTATAGATTATAGTTGTTAAGATTTCAATCCTTGTCTTAATGATACAGTTACCCAAACCAGCTGTGAGCTGCATTGTTTGACTAAAAAAAAATACAGTCAACACTGTTGTCTGACATCATCTTTTGCTTTCCATTATGTCCAAAATGTATATAAGTGTGAATCGCTCATGTACATAGTAAATATGAACCCCTCAGCAAAGCAAACCCCATCAGTAGCAATGAAGCAGCAATACAAGGATACAGTTGCAGTATGCAAATACATAGAGTGACTTATGCTGAAAAATACCAGCCATTAATAGTATAAAAAAACTTATATACTACATATATGCATATAGTATATGGCATGTTGTTGCACTGTCATTCAACAAAAGCAGAAATGACCTTGAAATACCAGACAGAACTTACATGATTATGTAGTTTTATAATGGCATGACCCAGCTGCAAATGCCACAGTGGCACTGTATTACAGTGATTCTGCTGTGAGCTTACATCAATCCTTCTTTGAGCTTTAACGATCTGTGAGACCAAGTGATGACTGTAGAGAGACAGCAATGCTGTTATGCAACTGCTGTTGTGCTGCTTGCACAAGCATTATCTTGAACTTATTTCACATGCAGAGAGGGGCACATAATGTTAATTAGCTTGAAAACAGAACTGTTCTCAATACCTTCATCATTTACAAGCTTGCTAAAAATAGTCCCTGCAGTATGATTGAGGGGGATTTTTAATTACTGGAATTTCTCCTCAAATGTTTATTTCTGTTGAACTGACTGGCCAAGATACATATTATCCTTATTACTGCTGTTTGTTGTTTATCTCTTTAATGTGCCCTCTGGTCATGCATGATCTTTTCATGGCCAGTTGCTAATGTTTCTATGAATACCATGAATGAACTACATCCATTCTCCACCAGAAGCAAGATTTGCAGACAAGTAGAAATCATTAGCATCCTGCTGCTGTGTCATGTTAAATTCTCTAATAAAATATCAGTGTCCCTGGTAAAATGATCATATCATACAGTATAATTCTCTTTCCATGAGAAACTGTAGCTTGTGTAACAGTGCCAGGCATTTTTTCTCAAATACCCTCTTTACCTTTCAATGAGAACAAAAATCACAACAGTAAAAACCAAATCCAGCTAAATCCACTGTGTTCTTGTTGTGGAAGGGTTTACCCCCTGATAAATGAGGAACTAAGAGGCAAATCCCGAACTTGATTAACTTAATAAAGGTCTATCAATAGCAGCTAAGACAAGTGCTGAATGCAAACCTTCCCTATCAGTCGCATCGCTGCAGCAGTTGGTTTAGCAGACTGTGTGTGTTTGGAATCTTAAAGGCAAGGATCTAGACACATTATTGAATGCCACCAAAGGGGTCAGAAAGGAAGCGGAACTGAGAGGGGGTGATACAGAAACCTTCAGATTACCAGCGGTAGTTAGTGCCATCATGCTGCTAAACTGTGATAGGAATCATTTCAGGGATAATCATTTGCATATATCTGGTTATCTGTACCAAATTCCCTCGCTTGTGAGCAACTGGGATTCAAGTTGGAGAAGAGTGTGAAGTGGATTTTTCTGTGATGAGTAGTAGAAGGCGAGGTGCACCACCGCTTAAAGAATAGGTGACATTAGGATTTGTCTGTTTCGTACAATAAGATAAATGAAAGACTTGCGGCAGACAGACAGTAATATCTCTAAAATGAGATAATTTAAGAAATGTTGATGTAAGCTTAGGCCACATTCAGACTGCTGGATTAGCTTCCAGGCTGTGAAAAGCAAAAGAATTGAAATGCAAATAAATTGGGGATTACTGAGAGAGCATTCACTCTTCCAAAGCCTCCTCCATTAACCGGTGAAATACTGGTCACATTTGAAAAAAAAAGGTGTGTAAGCTTAATGATTATTTCCTTTTTACTTACTTTTGTTTAAGTTAATGACACAATAAATATCTTGCCATCAGTGAGACATGAACAAATAGGAGAACGCTTAACACCTTGCTTGGTAGATTATGCAGAATACAATATAACAAGAGCATAATGATTCAATCTCAGCTGATAATCATCCCCATTACTCCACACAATCTAATAAACTCGTTCCGCTGTAGCAGGCGGTCCCTATTCTCTGAACATGTTTCCCCTTGTTAGTGTCAACCTGAAAACATAAAAGAGCTGACACAAAATCAGCAAGAGAGGTAAACACCATCTCTCTATGTCAATAAGGGACCTATTTTGCTATCCATTTGAGTTGCATTTGAATTCAAATCAATTATACAATCAACAACACTATGTAATAGCGCCAAACTTTGAAACAACTTTTCCTTTAACATATTATTCTGAGCTTGTTAAAACTTTATACTTTTTTCCTTTCTTCTTTATTAGTAATTGCATTACCAAACAAAATGTACAAAAATATCCAGGAGTCATGTTGGGACTTTTTCCACAGGTATTCAGTGTTTAGTTTCCTGAGCAGTGAGTGCCCTCTGCTGGCAGATTGTAAGTAGAGCACCACAACCCTCTACTCCATCACTCTCCTCATTCATGGTGATCAGGGAGCAGTGGTTACACAGTAAACTGCTCTTTTCCCTGCTGCTTTCTCCAGCTTCTCCTAGGGGATCATCAAGTGCTCCCACGCATGCTGACAGACATGGTGTTGATTGAATTTGCCTTTCCTCCCTTTGTGCCGCTTGTCTCCCATCAGGACATGAGGAAAAAAAGTAAATGACAGAAGAAGACAGAACCAAAGAGAATAGGGACAGTAGCTATTAAAACTCTGTGTCCATTACAGATTTAGTGGCCCTAACATCAGTCAAAGAATCTATAGCATTTCAATTATTTATCAATTAGTCAGGTGTGTGCTGTTTTTTTGTTTTTTTTGTTTTCTACAATTGTTGGGACTGAACAAGCAAATAAAATAAGTTAACCTGGACAGTGAGAAATTGCCAATTTTTTATTATTTTTGAGGTTGTATCCATCAAACAACTGATTAATGAGAAAGTAAGTGGCACATTAATGGGTGACACAAATAATCATTATTAGTTTCAGCCCTAAAATAAAGAGTTATGCATCTTTTCCCTCCTATGGTAACAAATTAAAGGGTGTGCCATTAAAAACTTGTCCCTAAGAGGATTTTTTTGAGTTTTATGGTTCTTAGTTTCCTAACCAGAGACCCTGAAACTGCTTTAGTTTCTTGCAGTATTAATAGAGGTAGCAAGATGGAAACACTACCATCAGTTTCTGAGTCACAAAGGTAAAGGAGGAACGTTTTAAGGGGAACAACACACCTGTAGTGTCCCCGGTGTGTCCTTATCCTATCTCAGCTTTCTCTCCAGGGAGTCACTGGGATTTCCTGCTTATTCAGTTCACTGTTATGCATTTGAAGGCCTATGAATAAAACAGTGTTCGTCTACTCAAAGTCAGTTTTGTCTGGCTTTTGGAAAAGTCCTAAGTGTTTTTGCACATTCTGTTGTTCAAAGCATGTATTATTGATTATTTCTAAACCATATAACATTTTGTACATTTCTTTAAATAACGTCCTTCATTCCAGACAACCACTGATTTCCCTTCATATCAGTACACTATGAAAATCAATTAAAGACCAACAACACATTTTTAAACTTGCTTCTGTTGGGTGTTTCATCACAGAGAACAGTGGCGTCACTCTTGTTTTGGCTTTTGTCAAAGTTACTTTGCCCTTGTGTATTAATGCTGTTGCCTCCTTAGAAAAAGCTACCACTGATTCATGGTGTGTTTCAAAGAGGGGCAGCTCAGACCTTGAGCCATCAAACGGCATCAAATTCAGAAGCTATGTTGTCAGAAAATTAAAACCAAAAAAACTTTAGAACAAATAAATTCATTTAATTAAACACAATCATAAACAAACATGATGTGAATTTGACAGCTACTTGCAAAACAGATACAGCAGCCAACTGTTATTCTACCATTGTTTCCCTACTTTAAGTTTATACACGGACAGTGAACAATAGTCCAACTATACAGTGTCAATTTAAAAAAAAAAAAGGGTGAAAATACAAAAAGCAACATCTGTAAACATCCCTAATCCTGCTGCGGTGGCAGAATGAAAGGATCAAATAACAAATGACCTCCAGATCAAAGTCATCTTAATAACAGCTCAGAGGAGTCAAACATGGCTGAGTCTGGAAAAATCCATTCTATCCCAGTGTTTCACACTGGATTAAGTTCTCAGACTCAGTGAGGCTGGGACCAGTCCTTCACTTGGTGACACTTTCAGAAGCAGTGTTTACGGTGGTGCAAGATCTGCCATATAAATCATTAGCCCCCATTACTCTATTTGTGTGAAGTGCTTAACATTTCATAATAAAAATTTAATAATTGCAGGTAAAAGAAAAACCTGAAGAACCTAAAGGATTTGTTATGTTTCCAAACATAGTTGTAGGTGGAAGGTAGGCCAGACAAAGACATCAGCTCCCACAGGGGTTTGAAACCAGCCCATTATTAAAACAAAACAAAAACAGGAGCTCTAACTGTGTTGTGACTTGTTTTCAAGATACCGTAATCACATTCTTAAAGAAAAGGTCTTCAGAATGTATGAGCAAGTTTGATAGTACATGTGCCAAATTTACTTAGAGCTCGTAAAGAACTTTCAGAAACAAAGTGCAAAAAAATGAATGTGGAACAAAAACTATTCCCCTGGGGCAGGAAGCCTCTGAGAAAACAGTGATAAAACATATGCATATGTTCAGTCTTATGAACAGAAGCTGCACTTAAATTATTACCATTCGCTCTACTGTGAATTATTTTGCTCCCTTTTGGTATCAAATTGATGCAGAGGCTTTTTAGTCTTTTAGCAATTTACATTACAAATTTTACTGTGCAGGAGCAGCCACAGTACAAAAAAGAAAAAAAAAAAACACACACCTACATCTGTTTCATTCAACCTTCATATTCAGTGACATGCAAAGCAGGGCATCAGTTTAATAACACAATGCAGATGCACTGACCTCAGAGAAGATCACCATGCATGAGTAAAGGTTATTAAATAGCAGAGGGAAAAAACTTTATTTCTCTTTGCTCCTCTACGATCCTGGAAGGTACAAGCAGGTTCTGGCAGAAAGGTTCAAATTTAACTGTATTCTGAAAAGAAATAACATTTCAAATGTCTAAAAAATGTCATGATATCATCACACACTCTGGACCAGGACAGTGTAGAGCTGAATACTTTTTTTTAATACTTTTGCCCAGAAGCCAAAATGTGTGCATAGTTTACAATGCGGTGCTCTTGTTCTCAGAAGTCAGAGAATTACCACAGACTGTCGTAGACTTTGCAGTGCAGGTATGCCAGCTTCTCAGCCATACTTTTCCTCATCATAGGAAACCACTCATGATGGCTGAGCTCTACAACCCTGTATCCTGCGATCTTCAACTGCCTCCTCTTCATGGCATGAAGGCCCAACAGCTGCTGTGAATGGCAGCAGTAGTGGTTCCTGCTGGTGACCTGGATAGCAAGTTTGACTATGCCTTTGGAGTCCTGTGGGGATAAACCCTTGCTACTGGGTTTGGTGAGGGCTTCTATAATATCACTAGTCAAGTCTAGCCCTGTGTCAAACAGCCTCCCACCTTCATCAGGTTCTACTCTGTGAAAAGGTGGATACTTATCTGTAGGAGCCAGGGTTAAAGGTTGTGTGGTGCTTTTGGTATTTATTAGCTGTGCTAAAAGCTCCTCTGTTATAGTTACTCCTATATTTATTTTCCCCCAGCCCCTGTTTGAAGTACCTTTGGATGAACTGTTCTGAGGAGATAATGGGGCTGTGTGGATTGCTGGGTTCACGGGTAAGGGCTGCCCACTGGAGTCAAAATGGACTTCCAGGTCAATAGAGCGAGTGTGGGGCAGAATCATTCTCTTACACACAAATTTCTCTCCTCCAAGCAGCTTTTGCAGGGTGGATTCTGCCACCTCAACCTCTGGCTTCTGACATACGTCTGATTGAGCAAACTTCCACAGCATTTCAGCCATCTCCTCCCTCAGTTTACAGCTTAGCCGTGGGCCAGTCCACTGAGGCAACTCCAGAGCCACTGTTCCATCTAAAGTGAACAGGTCTTTTTTCAGCTCCACCTGTGTGGATTTCACTGCTAAGCTGACAAAGTCAGGACTCAAGGCTAATGCAATTAGGTCCTCTGGAAATTGAGAGACAAAGGCCAGGCCTAGAAGACCAGTAAGCAGATGCTCCGGGTATTGTTGGAATTCAGCTTTTTTCTGTCTCAGGGCTTCGGTAAGGCTTGGATAGAAGCTTGAACTCTGAACTGGGAGAAACCCTAATGTCCCAAAGGCCCACAGTAATTTGCATGAGTCTTTAGTCCTGCAGTGTGGTACCAGAGAGGGCACTCTCTCAGCAATAGCCATAAGGATGTCATCACTGCGGTAATGCATCGCTGAACAGGCTAAGGCCACATGCATCAGCCCCTTGACACCCATCCTGTGAGCCCGTTGAGGAACTTCCTGTGCTATGGCCTCCATCCACGGCCTGTGATACAGGTAACTGAAACGCATGAATTTCATCACATTTACTATGGCAAAGTCACTCATATCTTTCACAAAGGACTGTGCCTTGTCAACAATACACATCACTCCACCCTGAGATATTGAAGTTTGTGATTTAAATAAACCCAAGCATACAGTACCAACCTCTTCAGGGTGCATTTCTTTTAAATGGCGCATGAGAAGCCGCTCTACAAGAGGGATCAAGTCTTTCGGGCACTGCCTACCTTCCCCAATTATATACAACAGTTGGACCACCTCAGAGACTCCCATCTGTCCTACATATAAATGGACTGAGTTATAGAGGTGCTGTAAAAACAGGGGCACCTGCCTCCCAATACAGCGCCACAAGTCAGCAGCTAACAGCAACTGGTGTAAACTCATTTGGTCAGCCCGGCGACACAGCTCGGCCTCAAACAGCCCAAGTACAGTGTGGGCAGAGGGTATATCCAGCCAAACAAATGACTGCAGCACCTCCAGCAGCTGAACTTCAGTAAAGAGGCACAGGTATTCCACAGAATACCGGAGGAGAATGATGAAGCGTTGGTCACTCATCACTAGTGACATCTTGTCTGGGTGCAAGCGACTGAGCTCCACAAGAAAGCGAGACACATCAGATGGTTTCATCCTGCCCTTTAAAAGAGTCACTTTTTGGAGCACCAACAAGGCCTCTTCCCATTCAATTGGGTGAGGACGCTGGCCCAGGTCAAGGGTCATGGAAGCAAACTCAGGCCGGCATTTGAGGAAGGCACGTGTATCTATCTTAACATCTGGTGGTACAGGTGACACTGATGGCATCTTGGGTTCAGGGCTTTTGTTGAAAGCCAAGTCAAGGAGTGTATTTTTTGTGCTGGAAAGGTGCCGCGAGCAACTCACACTGTAATGATTGCTCTGTTGCCAAAAGGAAGGGGTGAGAGTGGGTGAACACTGTTCATCCTCATCATCATCTGTCTTGCTCTGGGAGGTTGTACAGTTCCATGCAGAGTGATGATATGAAGATGGGTTATAATACAGTTTGTAGTCTCCTAGGAGAGAGGCCTCTTCATGCTGAAAAGTTCCTTTTATCCCCTCCTGCTCCTCAGTCTCATCCTCTGGTTTTCCATAGGGCTGTTGAGCCTGGGTAAAATCTTTTCTCAAGCCTCGAAGGTAGCATATTCTGGGCACCCGTCGACACAGGATGAAGGCAGCCATCAATCAAACAACTAAAAAGACAAAACCATAATTTTAACAAGTAGCTTTACCAAAGTAAAAACTGTTAAAGTCAACCAAACCTGGGATTCCTAATGTGAAAGGATACACAAAACTACATTTTGGGTTTCTGATCTGTATATCATTCATTTTAAGGTTGGCCGGGGATTCCGGGGGCTTCTAAATTGTGGTGAATGGCTGACAGAAAAATCAGCGACCTAGTTCTGAGACAGTCAAATTAGATTAACAATTGTATATTTTTAAAACTGTTTATATATAATGCAGAAATGTCATAAATGTGCATTTCTGGGTAAGATTCAATAGGCTAATTTCAGAACCTGTCTTTGAACTGCTGCTTCATGGTTGATGGAATAGGTTCTGTTTATGGTAAACAAATGCATTTTATGAATGTTAAACTAATGATTTCTCAAGAACATAACTGTTTAAGTTCAGACTGAAACACTGGGGAGAACAAGCTTTTTCGGTACGGGCTCCTATACTGTGGAATAGTCTGCCACGGGATATTAGATCTGCTCTGAACCTGACTGTTTTTAGCTCTCTCCTTAAACTCACTTGTATTCACAGGCCATTTACAGTATCTCCGATTGATGCATTTGTTTGTGATTGTGCATTTCTGCTGTTATTATTTTATTGTGTAGGTGTGATTTATCTGGTCTTATTTATTTGTTGTTGTTTTTTTCTGTTTTACTGTAAAACACCTTGTAACATAGGTTTAGAAAGGTGCTATATAAAAAAATCGCTTTGCTTTGCACGTAATAAACTGGGTGAATAGTTCAACTAACTTTAATAAACACATGATTAGATACCCTAAAACTACATAATCAGTTGAGCCTGCACAATACTGCCTACACAATTGTTATAAACTGTCTGCCTGAAACCCAGAATCCAATTTGAATACACAATGAAGCACTCAGTTTATATAGCATGTACTACGATTGTAGTTACAATGCCTAACCAAAGTCTGGTGAATCCAACTTCAATAACAACGCCGCTGCCACCTCATCTTTCAACCTAGAATATGGTTTAAACTTTACATCATTAAATTAAGTCTTGTCTTCTAACATACATGCTACAGCAGTCTGTAACGTTACATCAGTAGGATGACAGGGACCAGCCACACTTCTGAATGAGACTGTATTGCTAACAGCAGGTAATGCTAATTATGCTGAATTTGCTAGGCGTACGGTACAATAAAGATTTTTTTTTTATCTTGATTTACACGACATGTAACCAGGCCATTAAACTCACCTTTGCAGCATCAATGCAGGGGGATATTAACTGTCAATATACCCCTAAAATGTAAAGACCACATGAACTCAAGAGGAAAGAAGTTAAGGCAACTGACTTCCTACAACTACACCGGAACTCAAATATTTCAACCTTCAAAATAAAAACAGTTTACATCGTTTACAAGATGATATGGCACAATAAACTGCTAAAACATCGTGTTGTGATGTACAGAGTTGTAATAATGTATCTGAATATTCAATGACTCCATTATACTTTATAATTAGTGGCTGCAAATGCAGTGTCGGACATATGGTACAATTTTATTTTGGTGGGATGACGTCGCCTCTGTGCATTGCTTCTGTGGAGAGCAGAATGAATGCAATGTGACCTACGGCAGCTGGGTAGGTTCAAACAACCTTCAGGACGACAAAACGCGTTTATTTAAAAAAAACCTTCCCAATCCATGGCCCACCAGTTACATTGATGAGTTACATGATATGCGACTACTTATCAGTTTATATCCTAGATGCCGTTCACTGAAAAGTCAAGTCAAGCTTTATTCTCCTTGTTTGAACAAGTTTCAAGACTTATAGCCACCATTCATTTAATCACTTAATATTTTTTGTTTATTGTTGAAAAATACACATTATTTGAACAATTATATTTGAAAGGACCTACAGCTATCATAATGGTGTCATTTTAAATGTTTAGTTTTACAGCCTATTATTGTTATAGCAAAACGGTACATGATTACATGTGTATATATAACTGAACACATTTTGTAATGAAATACCTTTGTATTAAAAAAAATAATAAAATTATTGAAATAAGAATAATTCTTAAAATAATAATAATAGTAAATAAAAGTATGTTGTAGAATACAGGCCATTTGTTACCATTCTATTGTACTGATCGATTGTTGTTCTTATGCATTTTCTGAATAATATTTGAATATTTCAACTGAATAAATCCTTCTCAGTTCACCCAGCTGTACATGAAATACCCTGGTGAATGAATTGATTTAAATTGTGTTTTCTGGCAAACACTTGCAATTTAATTTCTGTACATTATATTTCTGTAAATAATTAAAACTCAAACTCAAAAGTTACTGCAAAAGTAAATACTTAAGAAATGACATAAATTATGATTTAAAATGCAATGTCTTCAATTGAACAATTACAATTAAGTCAGTTATTGGTAAACTGAAATTAATTACCAGCCCAAACTGACTCAAAGCACAGTAAAATTAATTCTGGTGAAAAATTCCATTTAGCAGCTTCATTTTAAACATCCTGGTATTGTTCATGCTGGCTCACTGCCATCCTGTCATAGCTTACTAGGCCACATGAACAGAACAGAGCCATTGTTAATGTTATTACCACCAGCTCTATGTTTCCTGTTATGATGACTCAAAATATTTGCAGTAAAAAGGCCCTATAGATGGAAAGTAAAATGTTATGCAAGTTAAAAATGGGAAGATCTTGTTGTTTTGCTTCTAAAGCTTTTAAATAAGTTTAAAAAAATTATGCTGATTATTTGTCAGGATCTGCATGCTACAGACAGTGTTCTGTTAAAATGATTTTTTAGCAACACATAAATGTTTTACGGCTATATACCCTCTTCAGACACCAATATGTCAATACTTTTGTTTGAGCTCTCCAGTCACATTTTAATGGATACTCGTTCTTTTGTGAGTGTTCTTATAAAATGTCTTTTTTTTTTTAATATCAGCAACACTGGGCAGCAGCGGCTGATTTGCTGATGGTGGCCAGCAGTCACTGCATGTGATAAACTTCTGCATCACTTTACTTCTCCCTTTTGGTCTACGTATGAGTCAGTATTTACTTTTTTAATTGATCTATAATTTTTGAAACATGGAAATGGGACCACAAAGTTTGTCAAACAATTGCTTTTGCATTCATACAATTTCAAATCCTCAAATTTAACCATTTTTAGTCTGAACTAATTTTAGTAACTGGCCAGGCATTAAAATACCATTTTAATTTGACAAAAAATAGGGTATGCACATTCTTGCTAGAAATTACTTTTAAACCACAGCTGCCTTCCCAACTGACTAATTATATCCCCTAGTATTAATTTTTGGGTAAAAAGTCATTTTTGGCCATGTAAAATGTAAGTAATCTTCCTATAATTGATTATTTGAAATAATAGAAGAACAACATTTTGTGCTTGTCTCAACTGATTTACAATATAACCCTTTTAACTTACAAAAAAAATGCCTCCCTGTCTCCAAATGATACAGTTTTTTCATGGCTTCCATTCTCAAAACTAAAATGAAGTGTAAATGAATGTCACACAAATGCATCACATCAAATTAATGGGTTTCACATCACTGTAATAACACGTGTTGTGTATTTGTAACAAAAAGATATATATTTACTTTTTTTCCCTTTTTTATGGTTAATGGTTAATATTTTCTAGTTAGCTATAACCTAAATGTTGCTCCTTCATTTTGGCAACAGCATGTAGCAAATTAGACACTTAAGCATCTGTTATATTTATTCATAGTTTATTCTGTTTTCATAGAGGTCCATCTAAACACTAAAATGGGCCAACATTTTTTCTTTCTTTTTTTTAATTCATGGGGAATTTGTGTAGTTCTCACCTTATAAGGATAAAGATAGGATAATTACCTTTATTGGCCAAGTATGTTACACACAAGGAATTTGTTTCCGGTACAGAATTGATGGCAGCCATCTGCAGCGCCAACTCAACCAAAATTCAATTCAAAATTGTGCAGCTACAATTTAAATCTGAAAATACATTGCTGGAAATGTATTACTGGAAATCCTATAAATAAGTTTGATAAGCAAAAATAAGTAACAAAGATGTGCCATAACATTAGCAGACATGAAGACTAATTTTCAGAAATGTACCAGAATCTTTTTACCATTCTGTTGTGAGGGTCATTGCCCTGCTGTCTGGAGTAAGTCCCCTGTAATAAAACATGTTTGATCCTATCACTGTGATACAGGCCTGTTGATATTTTCAGTATGAAATATGTGTGGTTACTGTATGATCTGTTTTTATTTTATTTTAATAATTCACTTTCATTAACTAGATCAGATATTGTAAAGATTAGTGTTGTTACCGCCTCCAAAGAAATTATGATTTTTCTGCTTGTTCATAACTCAGAAAGTTATAAATGTAGTTTTATCTTTTCTTTCTTTCCTAATTTTTTTCCTTTGGAGAAGTAGGATATGTCCCATGGAATAATCCATCACAGTTTGATGGAGATCCTGATCATCATCCTGCTCCATAATTTTGTGTGTGTGGCATCATGAAGAAAATGATCTGCCTTAGAGGAGATTTGCACTCTCTGAGTGCTGTCTACTTTAGTTTAGCTTTTATGCAAATGGCGTGTTCTTACAAATCATTAAGTGATTATTTGACATAACTTGCATGCCTTCCGCTAGTCCTTATGCCAAAGTGCATCTGTGCAGACTGTGAAGTAGACTAGCATCTATAAGGAATAACTTCCATATATTAATGTTATTAAACAACAAACTGATTTGGAAAAAAAAACCTATTTTTCATTAAAATGTTAGAATATATTTATTTCAAATATTTATCCATAATTATAAGACTTTTTGTCTTAACATTATGTAGGCAAACAACACAGTCACGTTATAAAACATCTACTTGTGTGTTTATTAACAGCTTAAATAAAGATGAAATTTGAGAGTGGCACTTGGAGAGGAAGTAGCTGATTTATGCTAATGAAGGAGTTGGGGTTTAGCTACGCTGGCTGGGAGCCGCCCTTCATTCACCACATGGTTAAACCAAGACTCTACTCGCGCCACTTTCGCAATCTTACTATGATTCCCAAACTCCTAGCAAATCATAATAGTAGCACATGGTTGTATTCTTTGGATTATACGTTCTAGCCGTTACTCAATTTGTGAAGTAATATTTTTTCTTTATCGGTTTTGCAGATATCCCCCGAAACAGTGTGAGTAAACGGTAAGTCTGTACAAGTGAGTGAAGATGGTGGGATTTTTAGAAGCTAGTGTCTTATTACGCGCATGTTATTGGCAAGAAACCTGTTGTTAGCCTTGTCGGGAGATGCGGTAAACGTAAGGAAAGTGAAATGCTCTCCACTCCATGCAACACCGGAGCCATGCTTTCACGTTTACAACAGGGGAAAACGTTTTAATCGCCAGTTTCCGCATTTGAAAACAGTGTTGTAAGGGGCGCATGGCAACCTCTCCTCCATGGCTGGAGAATGTGGGAGATTTGAAAAACATGTGTTGCTACAGCACCTAAAGTCAGTATCTCGGGGAAGTGAGAGGCACTCAAGAAAATAATGCGTTTTCGCACTTTGGTAGTAGCTTGAAGTTATATTCGTGTGCTTGTGTTGTCGACCACACGTAGACAGAATTTTAAGTTTTCACTGAATTTGTGCACAGTGGTGTACACTTGGAAGTAGTGCCTCCAGAACAAAGCAGCAGCACATGAGGTAGCAGCAGGCCGCGCGCCGTTGCTATTTCGCAAGCTGCTAATGCTAACATACCGACGAGTAGATATCGTTAAGTCACGTTAGTTATGTTGGCTTTACTATCTATATTGTGTACTTATGTGGAAATGTAGACGTTTACAAACACCGGGGGTCACATAACCTACAGATAGTTATTCTGTGTTAGCATGTATGAGTAACTAAAGCAGCTAAGTTGGCTAAGATAAGCGAGTGACCTGCTTTGAAGTGGATGGAGAGTGGTAGCCAACTGACTAACGTTAGCCTGCTGACTCAATGCGCCACTAAAGATATTCTCCCCAAATGTTGTTTCTTCTAATATAACTGATCTAAGCTGTATAAGTCTTTATCTAACAACATTTCCGAAAGCGAACCGCACTAAGAGGTCGCACGCGTTAGCCTGTTTGGCCAGCACATGTGTTCATCGGACTGTTTTGATGGAGCCCCGGGTACTACTAGCTTGTTGTGTGCTGGATTCTGTCTCAACTTTGCAGTAGCTGGTGCCACACGCTCGTTGTGCTTTAAGTCATACTGAGCGCACTCTTCACTTGCACCTGATTTCTGTGTGAACTGTCCAGACATTTTACCTGCGTATATTTAGTTACACTTGTATTGCGTTATCGAGTC